GGTACACCACGAGCAACGACCCAGAGACCCTTCCCGGCATCTCCTAGTCAGGACCCACCGCCCAGACACCTTCCTTTCAGCGCCCACCCCACAGCCCAGAGGACCTGAGATACCCCAACATTTCAGAAACCCACCCTCAGGGATTGCCCCACCTGAAGCTTACTGGGGATCACGTCCCTCCGGAAAGAGGCCTCCTTCCACGGCTCACACTCGTCTGCCCCTTCTCATGCCAGTGATGGCCTGGAAGGAGGTGGAAGGTGCCCAGGGGCCCTGCAGTCTTACCTGGAGCATCTCCATCCTTGGTGCGTCCCCTGCCTCGTGTACCTGGCTTTATACCTTCGGGTTGTGGGGGCGGCAAGGCCACCAGGAGGTGGTAGGATGCTGGGGTGACCTCGACACTAACACCCCGGGGGGTGAGAGGTGCACAAGGCCAGGGAGGCACAGGAGTGGCTCAGCGGGGCGTCCCAGCCCTCTCCCCTCAGTGGTCCAGCGCCAAGAGTGAGGCAGAGACCACGGTGAAGTGAGCTCAGAGACTCAGTCGTTCAGTGCTAGGGTCTAGTCGGCGTTGGAGGCACAGGCGTAGGGTGTAGGAAAACTTGCCTCTGCCTATCGTGCGGTCTTGGGAGCCAGAGGAGGCCGCGACCCGAGAAAGGTGCTGGACTGAAGCCTCAACCCTCCTCCACTTGAGGCATTCCTGCGCCACAGTCCAACCTCCCAGGAGGGGCGCGGCTTCGGACTTAGCTCCTGCCCAATCCGCGAGGGCCTCCCCGTGACTTTGCAGCCGGGGAAGCCGCTTGACCCAGATGCCCCCCAACGAGGGATTCAGCCAGAGACCTACCTCTCCCTTAGGGACCTCCGCCCACCCTACCCTCAAGCTAGGATGCCCGGAGCGGTCCCCGGAAATGCGTGTGGTTCAGGTAACTTAACTCATTATCTAATACGCCCGCAGGGGGCGCGTCCTGCCCGCGGGGCCACAGTCTTCGAGGAGAATATCTGGACTTAGTCCCTTCTCCGGGATGCCGCAGCTGAGTGTGCGTGTCTGGGGTAGTCCGGCCCCGACATTGCCGGTAGACGTAATGAGTGGTAGCCCAACTAAGTCCGGACACCGCGTAGTGGGCGGAGGTCCGGAGCTTGGCTCCTCCGCGAGGCCAGAGGACGTGTCTGGGGTGGGGCGGGCCCGGCCGGCTCCCACTAGCGCCGACTTCAAGTTGCCAGAGCGGGAGTTCTCGGTGTTGTAGGCTTTCGGCACGCTGTGGATGCCCGGCAAGGGCTTCCAGTGGGGGTCACCCCAGGGCGCCTCCAGC